TTCTAGTCAAGTTCTCTTGTTTGTTTGCAACCATCGAGAAAAAGCACTTGGATAAGTGATTTGATTTATATAATCCTGTTTTGCAGTAGTTTACTTTTGCCAGAGCATTTATCTGTGTTTATTTTGGGCTCGCAGCCAGCAAGAGCCGGGACTGATAAAAACATTCCTTCGAACATTCTGTTCGGCTGTAGTTTCTCAACGGGCAAGGTGGGGGTCAGAACAGAACCCTGACCTCCTGTCTAGTCAGGAAGTGCAAATGCCACTTGGTTGTGGCATTTGCAAAGAACTTGGAAGGGAGCTCAGCTGAACCCTGGTTGAGAAGGAAGTGGGGAGGAAGAAGAGGAAGTAGCTTGTCTGATGGAAAAGTTTGGGCAACCCACTTGCCAAACAGCCTCGGGAAAACACCAGCCTTTCCTTTCCTACCCACAAGCTGCCACCACCAGCCCTCTCGTTACCGGAATCCTCTGCCAATGACAAGGCGGGATTATCGATTCCTTCTTTCGGGTTAAATTCAAATTTCCTGCAAGAGAGGAGGAAGAAGAAGAAGAAGGTGCATCTCAAAGGTTGAGAAATGGGAGTTTACAGGATAGGGTCTAAAAGGTTGAGATTGTGGCCCTAGCGATGCCATCAAAGCTCTACCTGTAACCCACACCACACACGTAAGAAACAAAACAGAGTTTGATCACACTCCCATGCTCCCCGCACTTAACATCTTCACACCACAGTTTGCAGGCGCCCTTGCTGAAGAGCCACCATAAGTTTCTGCCAACATCTCGGCTTCCCCAGAGCTGCCAACCAACCCCCAGTTTGCGATGGGAGTATTTTCTTATTTCTTGGATGGTCAGGGCCCCTTAATTCTGGAGCTTGTTGTCAGAAGAATGGAATGGAATAGAATAGGATAAGAAATAGGGATACAATTGAATAGAATTAGAATAGAATAGAATTAGAATAATGAAATTAGAATAGAATAAGAAATAGGGATAGAATAAAATAGAATTAGACTAGAATAAGAAATAGGGATAGAATAGAATTAGAATTAGAATAGAATAAATAGGGATAGAATAGAATAAGAATAGAATAGAATAAGAAATAGGGATAGTATAGAATAGAATTGGAATAAGAATAATGGAATTAGAATAGAACAGAAAAAGAAATAGGGATAGAATAGAAAAGAATAGAATACAATAGAATTAGAATTAGAATAATGGAATTAGAATGGAATAGTATAAGAAATAGGGAGGGAATAGAATAGAATAAGAATTAGAATAGAATAAGAAATAGGGATAGAATAAAATAGAATTAGAATAAGAATAATGGAATTAGAATAGAATAGAAAAAGAAATAGGGATAGAAAAGAAAAGAATAGAATACAATAGAATTAGAATTAGAATAATGGAATTAGAATAGAACCGTATAAGAAATAGGGAGGGAATAGAATAGAAGAATATAATATAATATAATATAATATAATATAATATAATAGAATAGAATAGAATAGAATAGAATAGAATAGAAATATAGTAGAATAGGAATGGAATGGAAAATAGAATAGAATAGAATGGAAATCTTTATTGGCCAAATCACAGGTGGGTTGCTCCCTGTTTGGCTGGATCGGACGAGCTGGTAGTAGCAGCGGTGAGAGGCTCTGCCCACCTGCCCGGACGCTTCTGCGCATGCGCAGGAGCCCGCGTGCCCGAACCAGTAGTAAAAAAATTGGCAACCCACCCCTGGG